GTCCTCTTCTCTCTCTCTGCCTACGGTTTACCGCGCAGTTCTGTTTGTGACGATATATATAATTATGGAGGGCGTCATGGTCACGGCTGACAGAAGTCCAGTTTAGGGGCTCGTTAGACACTCCTCGGGCGCTCAAAAATTCCGAGGAAATGATCGTTCCATTTGTCCTCGGAGAGAGTTCCTTGGAAACCGATGTGAAAACATTTCCTCGGGGTGTCCTCGGGGCGTCCTCGGGCCACAGCCATTTGGCTGCGTTCCCCAAGGTACCTCGCGAGGTCCCTCGGAGTGGGAGTTTCCGCGAAAATCGGGACGGCGGCGGCAGCCTTCGACGACGGCACAGTTTTGTAGTGTGGTACAACGGTGGTCCAGCCGAGGTGTGAGCGGACATTACCGGCCGGCAACGTTCGACTTCCGTGGGGACAGCGGCAACGGTAACAAAGAGTGGCGGACGGGGTCCGTGGAGGGCCCGAGGTGACCCGGCCGCTCGCGCGTGCCGAGAGCAGAGGTCCGCAATGTAAACCGGCGGAGGGCGTCATCAGCCATCACTTGCCGTCTGCTGTTTGTCGCCGTCAGGTTGACCGTTACGCTGCGGTTGTCTTACATGGCCGACGTGTTGCGCAAGCTGCCGCTGCTCCTCCTCGTCGTGATTCTGCTTGTCGTTGTCGTCTTTGTTCACGTGTGCATATTGGGGAGGTTGCCTTCACGTACCCGCAGGAAAGGAGGGGCGAGGAAGAGCGTTGCCATGGACGGGAGGCGGCCAACTCAGAGGACGTTGTCCAGCCCTTATCCGACCGACCGGGCTCCGATCTGTGCCGGTGCAGACAGAAGGGCGGCAGGTCCGTCACCGTACGAAGGACTGCCGCCTCACTTGCAACCGCTGCTCGATTCGGACGAGGGGGAGGCGGAGGTGGACGTGTCGACGACAGTTCCGATGGGTAGCGGGTCTACCCAGGAGTGGACGGGTAGCCAGTTGTATGATCGCCCCGGGACGAAGTACGGGCAGTCGTTCACTTCCCTCCTTCACGGCGGCGCGGAGGAGGAGGATTGCCTCCCCCCTGTCGATCTCACATTTGGCCTCCGGAGCGGGAGCCCGTCTTCTGTCATGCGCACTGTGCTTGTGAACCCTCATCCCAACGACGACGCGGGGCAGGTCACATTCGGCGATAGGGGCACGAGGGGCGTAGCGGCGGCAGAGGTGACGTCGGGGAAGACGACGGCATGGCCTCGAACATAGGCGACTTCTGGCCCGTCAGTTCCACGCATTGCCGCGCAACGTCCTGAGTGGATGACCCTCAGTCCTCCTTTGTCCGGGGGGCGCGACGGAGTTCGTCGTCCCGTAGATCGGGCTGTGACTCACAAAGATTTCCCTTCTGAGGGCGCGCATGGAGATGGCAGGCGGGTATGGAAGGATGCGAGGCAGGAGTTGCGGCGGCAGCAAGAAGAGTCCATAACGAAAGGTGTGGAGCGTTTACGTGTGGGCAAGCGGAGTGGGCAAGCAGACGTGGCCGCTGGGGGGGGTGACGCGTGGGCAAACGCTGACGAAGTTCAGTGCGACGTAGACGATGACGACAGTGGCGACGTGTTCCCGTTGCGTGCGCCGAACATGGGCGGGAGGGGCGGGAGGGGCGGCAGGGGCAGCACTTCGACTAGAGCGGTGCGCAGGCGGACGAGATCGACGACGGCCTCTGCAGACGTGGAAGGCGAGGGTGATGGGGAAGGAGGGCGGAATTTCTGGTCCGTGGAACACATGGTGGCCCTAATCAGGGCGAAGCGGTATAAGGACGCCAAGCTGCAAGCGTCGGGACACAACTTTGCTCGGATGCGGACGAGGGAGTGGAAATGGATGGACGTCCGGGAGAGGTTGCTGAAGGTCGGTGTCGACAGGCCGGCAGACAAATGCGGGAAAAAATGGGACAATCTCATGTAGCAGTTCAAGAAAGTCCACGCTTTCATGGGCATGTCGGGGAAGGAGGACTTCTTCCATTCGACGAGTCAGCAGAGGGCAGAGAAAGGATTCAACTTCAACATGGATCGAGCCGTCTTCGAGGAGATTAAAGGGGCGAGGGAGAGGAGCCACACTATCAGCCCGACCAATGTTGCAGACACTGGCGGGGCAGGGAGTGTGCAACTCCCATCTGCACAGTCGGCGACTCCGGAATCTGTGGGGGATGGTGAAGCCGCCGGTGATGGAAACGACGAAGACGACAGCTCAGCACGGGGTGACTCACAGACGAGTGGTGGCCCGACCGGATTCGGGAAGAGAAAGAATATGCGGCAACAGACATTCGAGGCGTTGTCGGAGTCCATGGACAAGCATGGGGCGTTGGTGGCGTCGACGATGGAGAGCGCGAGCAAGAGGCAATGCTCCATCCAGATTCGGCAGTGCGAAGCTATCGAAGTGGAGGTGGAGATCCAGAAACAACACTGTGCTGCCTCCACTGAAGTTAGCAAGCTTATGTGCCAGGCGCTGATGGGAATAGCGAAGGCTATACGAGAACGGTAGACATGTGCGACCGCCGGAGGTCATTGGTCGGTTGTAGTCGTCACATCATTGTGAATCTGCTGTCGTCGATTGCAGTCGGATGGATGTGGACGTTGCTCGTGCGTCGGTTTTTTCCATGGAGGAGAGAGAGGGAGAGAGAGAGAGAGAGAGAGAGAGAGAGAGAGAGAGAGAGAGAGAGAGAGAGAAAGAGAGAGAGAGAGAGATTGAATGTGGTGAGAGAGAGAGAGAGATTTTTTTATGTATAGGTCCTTTGGATCAATTTCTGGTAGTGTGTTGAGGATAACTTCCTTTTTTTTTTTTTTTTTGGTATTTTTTTCTTTTTTGTAAAATTATTTTCTTTTGATGTTGCTTCATGTTTGCGTTCTTGCGACGAACATCTGTGTACTGAAACGTCCTCCTTTCTTTGGCCAACGCTATATGCGGCATGGCATTCAAAGGGCGCCTTCCAATGCAGACGTCTTTGTGCATGCTTGTCTGGGAGGCTCCAATGGGCTGGGTGGTAGGGGGTGGTAAGTTTTTTTTTTTTTTTTTTCCGGCGTTCTGCCTTCATGTGATGGCGGGGGTGTTCGTCGCTGCGGGGGTGTGTTTCAGGGGATACTGCTCAATGACAGCACGTGTGAGGGACAACGGGATGCGAACGCATTGATCCCGCGAAGGCCTCCCCTTCGGCCTGCCCCCACCCGCGACCACATCACCGACCAGTAGACGGCCCCTGTTCCGTACCGCGCGAACGGTGCCTTCGACACGTGTGCCTTCGCGGGCGCCCATCCACCGATCAGAGAGCACAACAGTCCAGTCCATGCAGTCCTGGCGGCGTTGTCGCATGGTGCATTGCAGGGCAATCGACGGTGCGCTGGGCCAGGTGACACGCCTACTTCCTTTCAGTCGGACGCCGTGTCGGTCATGATCGCGAACTGCGCCTGGACACCTCGTCGACACACCTCCTTCTCTCCGGACGTCGTGTTTGTCTTCGTCGCCGAATTCGTTTGGACACGTTGTCGCCATTCCAACTTGCGCAGCGCGCGTCTTCGTGGCTGTTCAAAAAGGCGGCGTTGCGGCGAGCACGTGGCAGTCGGGTTGTCAGTGTCGCCGTGAGATACGCGCAGTTCACGCGTCTGGCGTTTGTTCAATCAAACACAGATAGCGGTAGGTTGTGCGGCCCTCACCAGTCTCCTCTACCAGCCGTCCGCCATCGACGTCGTTCGTCTTCACAGCGATGACGAATACACGCAACGCAGCGAAGGGGAAAAGGGGGAGGGAGTCTAATCAAGGCGAAGCTGCTACCGCTGTCAAGCGGGGGAGGCATCAGGCGAAGAAGGCGAAGGCCTCAGGCGGCGGCGGCGCCCTGGTAATTGGCAGGGCCACGCGGGAAGAGTGGATCACGGAGGGCAGCAACGACGAGGACGACTATTTCGAATCGGAGGCGGACACGTTTCATGGCGTCAAAGGGAGCTCGCATGAACAAACCGCCGCGCGAATGATCAGCGGAGATGTAGGGGGCAAAGGTGGCATCGAAGGGGGAGGCGTGAACGTCGCGCGTGGTGACAACGACGCAGGGGGCGACGTGGCAGCCGCTGGTGGTGGCAGGGACGATCGGGGCCGCCAATTGACCCCGACGACGCGCAACCCCGTGCAAGCAAGGGACGTCCCCGGGGCGCATGACATTGGCAGACAGCAGCCGCTGCGGGCGTCGTCGACCCAGGCGACGCCAGCAACGGGACAGGCGAGAAGGGAGGAGGGGGCAACGGTGACTGCAGCAAGCAGGCCCCAGCCCCCCGCTTTGAAGAAAACCCGGGGAGGGGTCACCTACGTTTCGCCGAAACCAAGGGCAACGACGCCTGTCACTCGCCGCGCCCGCTTCCGAGGTCCTCGGCGACGCGTAGGGAATGGGTTTAGAGTGTATAGTTACTTTCCCTGCCTTTATCTTGTTAATTTCAGTAATCCCACAAGTCCACACCGCGCCTAGTTCGGACAGTCAAATGTCTGTTCAGGGAATTTGCCGAGTCAGCAAGTTTGATTAGTCCGTTGACCAGATCAGCAAGCGCGTCCCCACAACAAGATTGAATAGTTTACTAACAGTTCTGCCAGTTCACACACTAGGCGGCCAGACTTGCCGAGAAACAGATCTACAAGTTTTCCCACCAACAGATAAGTCAATTAACAGTCTGACATATCCGCCCAACAGCAAGTCAGAATAGTCAACTCCAGATCTGTAAGTTCATTTACTAGGAGGTCTGCATAATCAAGCAACAGATCCGCGGGCCCGCACACCAGAGGAATTTTGCAGTCACCAAGAGAAGGAATAATAATACTAATTTTAATGTCAAGGAACAGACCTGTCACTCTTCTCTCCTTCCCCTCTCTCTCACACACTTACACACACACATGCACAAAGAAGCAGATACATAGCCACACTCACTCGAACAGACTCCCCTTGCACAGAGAAACAAGCCCAGTGTAAAGGCGCGTCCAGTGAGCAGTGAGCACGCGTCCTGTCAAAAGCCATCAGGTCAATCGATAGTAGGCAACCGAATGTATTTGACGCACTCTCTGGGGTGGTATCCTCTGGCGCGCATGTGATCAGTCATCATACGAGTGAAACGAGAACGAACTCGCAGGCAATACATAGAAAGATACGCGGCAGTTTTCTTTGTCTGTTGGAACTTTTGTCCGTTGGGTCACTCACTGCGCGCACGTTCAAAGGTAGATAGCTGTGGTAAATCTGGTATTTGCTAATGAATGCCCGTTTGTTACCTTCTCTATACAAAGGGTCCCGCCATGTATCTGATCAGATAATTGTTCCCATTCGATGATCAGATCTGCATGTTCAGGTCAATTAGCTCTCATGGTTCGCTGTGGCCTCGCTCTCTCTCATACACGCTAGCCCTCGTCTGCACTGCCCCCTCTTCCTTCAAATAGAAAGCATGATGTTGTCTGGGGGGTACAGTCATCAGCGGGGTTCCAACTTGACAGGGGTTCGCTGGCTTGATCATGCACACACTTACTCTGACTTGTGATATGTCTGATGCATTACTTGAGAGCTATAGGGGGTTCACACTAATCCAACGCCCATGCTTTGTAGAGGTGGCAGCTTGATCTTTGATCGGCAACAAGACTTCCGTTATCATCTTCATCAGAGATACACTCATCACCGAGCGCCACGTCATCACATAACTGTCACCTCCCCCAGCATCAAGAGCAAGTGGCACATCGTCACACAACTGTTCTCGCGCAGCCCCCTCT